ACAATAGGCTGCAATCGTGAAATTCACTTGTGTAAAGTCATCACAATGATTAAACACGAGATTTGCATATTTCTCATATTGTCTCTCCATGACCTGACAAGGTCTTCTTACCAAACAGAAGCATGAAAGATGAATGGATGTGAAATAGAAAATCCATAATAGATGAAAACAACGGGAGCCCATGCTGCGAGTGTTTTTTTCAGTACGAGAGTGTGTGCAAACAAAAGCAAAGTGTTTTACCCGAAAACCAGTGACACAAAACCAGTGACTTCCTGTTCTAAAATAAGAAGTCAACAAATGGAAAGAAATTTTACTGAGCCCTGCACCGCTTTATATGAGGTGCAAATATGTTTTTTTAAAGGCTGTCTTAATTGCTTCACAAAAGTAAAATGTAATTTGAAAACATAAAAAGGAAAACATGTGAAGTATTAAATACAAAAACAGAGGTAAATTCACTTGGGGTTCTTCACTCAACAGGAGTTAAATTAGAAAACATCTGTAAACCAGTTATTTTTTTTTTCAGTTTGTTTTTTTTAAGTTAAAGGAACACTACAGTCACTAAAACAACTTTAGCTTAATGAAGAAGTATGTGTGTATATAGATCATACCTTTGAAGTTTCACTGCTCAATTATCTGCCATTTAAGAGTTAAATCACTTTTGTTTCTATTTATGCATCATTAGTCACATCTCCCCTGGCTGTGATTGACACAGCCTGTATGAAAGTAAAATGGTTTCATTTCCAATCAAATATAACTTACTGTGAAAGTTTTTAACTCCTGCTTTAAAAATTAAACTTTAATTACATACAGGAGGAGACTATTACCAGAGCAGGAGATAATAAATTCTAAATTAAACAGAATTTGCAATAAAGAAAGTGTAATCATTAAATGACTCTTTACATGACTTGTTTAGGAAGGCTGTGTAAGTCACATGCAAGGAGGTGTGGCTAAGGCTGTAGTTTAGCAACCAGCCAGCTGCTAAGTAGTGGCTAATGGCTGCCATTATTTTCTTTGTGACCACTAACCTTTACTTACAAATCTATTTTGAGACCTTACCATGGATTTACAGAAGGACAAACTATTGAGTTACTCTAAGCTTTTGTCCGTTCTCAGAGTTCTCATATGATCTATTTTTGCTGCAATGCATTAACTTGACTCTCCCCAAGTTAAAAGAGTAATCCAGACATAAACACTGAGCCTAGAGGGGTATCAGCTACACCTCCCTGACAAGGCCTAAAGAAAGCCAAAACAATCATCTGAGGTTGCTGTATCTCTCATGCAGAAAGAACTTGCTGGCATTTCGGCTCTGGACTACCCTTATGGGTGGGATCAGTCTGACATGCCTTGGAATATGTTCTCTCTTTAATGGCACAAGTGAGCAAAACCTATTTTGAGACCTGAGTGGGGATTTACCGAAGACAAAGCTATTGAGTTTCTCTTTAGCGTTATCAGAGTTCTCATATTCTCTGTTTTTGTAACCTTTACTTAGTGACTGGTTTCCAACTAGTTTCTAACCATGTCTATACTGATCTTCAAAACACCAGCCTCATGTCTGCTACAAAGAAATTAACAGCTTACATTAACAGCTAAACCCCTATGCATCTGATAGGTAAATCCAGTTGGGAAAATTAGCTAGCAATGAAGAATTGCATCGAAAACCTAAAGCACACATTGAATCATATTAAACCATATCAAACAGCAATAAAATTACAGAAATGTCCAGACACATGATAAAAAAAACATGAATTATTTGCGCCTTACGTCCAGTTTGTTGCCAAAATCTGTCAATTTCACCTTAAATACATTGCCAGCACCCTTCTCCCACCCTCACCCCCCCCCACCCCCCTTTTTATGCAGGATGTTGCTAAAGAGCTTGTTTATGCCATACTGCATCATTACAGTCTGTAATAAATGCTACCACTAATCTGGTTTTCCTCTTGACGTTCCTCTCACACCATGTCCCTTTGTCAAACCTTATGGTGGCTTCCTGTAACTACATGTATCAATTCAAAATACTAACCCTTACCTATAAAGCTATAAACAACTCTAGCCCATGTTATATTTTTTTTTCTAATTCATAGGTATGATCTTTCTCGTTTTCTCCACTCTGCCGTTGACTATTTATGACCGCTGATCACACCCTTACTGGTAACTTGTGCTTGCAGGACTTCTTGCGAGTGGCTCCTTTCCTTTGGAACAACCTACCTACCCACATCATACTCTCCATTAGTCTTCAATCATTTAAGAAGTCCATCAATACCATCTCTTTAGCAAAGCCATATTTCTTGCTGCTGCTAGAAAGGATGGAAGATGGCTGTCTGACCCCCAGCAACAACCTCCAGTGACAGGTAGGCTTGGTGTGTGTGTGTGTGTCTCTCTCTGCTAGTGAGGAAGCTTGTGTGTGTGTGTGTGTGTATGAACTCAGCAGTCTGTGTGTGTATGGACTCAGCAGTCTGTGTGTGTGTGTGTGTGTGTGTGTGTGCATGGACTCAGCAGTCTGTGTGTATGGACTCAGCAGTCTTTGTGTGTGTATGTGTGCATGGACTCAGCAGTCTGTGTGTGTATGTGTATGGTGTATGGACTCAGCGGTCTGTGTGTGTGTGTATGGACTCAGCGGTGTGTGTGTGTGTGTGTGTGTGTGTGGACTCAGCAGTCTGTGTGTGTGTGGACTCAGCAGTCTGAGTGTGTTTGGACTCAGCAGTCTGTGTGTGTATGGACTCAGCAGTCTGTGTGTGTGTGTGTATGAACTCAGCAGTCTGTGTGTGTATGGACTCAGCGGTCTGTGTGTGTGTTTGTGTGTATGGACTCAGCAGTCTGTGTGTATATGGACTCAGCAGGCTGTGTGTATGTGTATGGACTCAGCAGTGTGCGTGTTTGTGTGTGTGTGTATGGACTCAGCAGTCTGTGTGTGTGTATGAACTCAGCAGTCTGTGTGTGTGTGTATGGACTCAGCAGTATGTGTGTGTGTGTGTGTGTGTATGAACTCAGCAGTGTGTGTGTGTGTGTATGGGACTCAGCAGTATGTGTGTGTGTGTGTGTATGGACTCAGCAGTCTGTGTCTGTGTATGGACTCAGCTGTCTGTGTTTGTGTGTCTGTGTGTGTGTATGGACTCAGCAGTCTGTGTGTGTGTGTGTGTGTGTGTGTGTGTGTGTATGGACTCAGCAGTCTGTGTGTGTGTATGGACTCGGCAGTCTGTGTGTGTGTGTGTGTGTCTGTGTGTGTATCGGACCTGTGCAGGCTGTGTGTCTGTGTGTGTGTGTATGGACTCAACCCGGTCTGTGTGTGTGTGTGTGTGTGTGTGTCTGTGTGTGTTTATATGGACACAGCAGTCTGTGTGTGTGTGTGTGTGTGTCTGTGTGTGTATTTGGACTCAGCAGGCTGTGTGTGTGTGTGTGTGTATGGACTCAGCAGTCTGTATGTCTGTGTGTGTGTGTATGGACTCAGCAGTGTGTGTGTGTGTGTGTATGGACTCAGCAGTCTGTGTGTAAGTGTATAAATCAGCCTTTGTGCATTCAGCGACACCTGTGTGCATTCAGGAGTCTGTGTGCATTCCGAAATCTGTGTGTGTGTGTGTGTGTATTCAGCAGTCTCTCTGTGTTAGTATTCAGTGTACTGTGTGTATGTACTCAGCAGTGTATCAATAATTTAAATTTTTATTCCTGTGAGTTGTTGTGTAGGAAGGGCCCCAGTGCACTGCTTTGCCCGGGGCCCTTAACACTGTTAAGATGGTACTGCTTGTGTGTGTCAGTGAGCTTCTATTTAGTGAGCATGTGTGTGTCAGTGAGCTTGTCTTTAGTGAGCTTGTGTGTGTCCCTGAACTTCTTTGTAGTGAGCCTTGTATTTATACAAGTGAGTTTGTTTGTAGTAAGCTTGTGTGTGAGTCAGAGTTTTTTGTCTGTCAGTGAGTCTATTTGCGCATGTCAGTGAGCTTGTGTGCTCACTGTACAATATATATATAAAAAAAAAATATATATATATATACAGTCAATGAAGGCTTGCACTCATGGTCCTTTCTTCATAAAAAATTTCCTTTATTTCATCCCATTAAAATATGATCGACATTTCAGCCATCGTCTGTGGCTTTCATCAGGATCAATACAGCTCAAAGCTGATCCTGATGAAAGCCACAGACGATGGCTGAAACGTCGATCATATTTTAATGGGATGAAATAAAGGAAATTTTTTTGGAGAAAAGACCGTGAGTGCAATCCTTCATTGACTGTATAATATTTTTTGGCAATGGCTAGAATGCACCCGGCGTTTTGAATAAGTTAAAGGCTAACAAGTGTGAGCACAAGGAGCAATAAGAAACTATATTTATATAGGATTCATGTGCCCCCCCCCTAAAAATGAATCCTATAGACGCCACTGATGCCATATCTCCAGCTAGATTTGCTGGATATGCCCCCCAGCTCAAAGAGCTAAGCTCTAACTTTCCAAACCACTATAAAACCTGTACATGGGAGGTATTGTTTTACTCGTGAGTAGTGATGTCCCGAACGGTTCGCCGAACGGTTCGTGAACGGTTCGCCACGAACGGTTCGCCACAGACTCATCATTGAGTAAACTTTGACCCTGTACCTCACAGTCAGCAGACACATTCCAGCCAATCAGCAGCAGACTTTCCTCCCAGACCCTCCCACCTCCTGGACAGCATCCATTTGAAGCTGCAGTCTTAGTGAGCTGTCCAGGAGGTGGGAGGGTCTGGGAGGGAGGGTTTGCTGCTGATTGGCTGGAATGTGTCTGCTGACTGTGAGGTACTGGGTCAAAGGTTACTCAATGATGAGTCCGCGGTGAACCGTTCGGGACATCACTACTTGTGAGACATCACTGAATGCAAATATGTTTACTTTATTGCAGTAACAGCTAACAGTATTATGACAATCTCAGTTAAAATGCCATGCAGAACTAAAAAAATAACAAAATGTCTTAATTTCTCACAATTTGTTTTACATTTTATTCACATTAAATTATATTTAATAAATAAATATTTGAAATTAAATTAAAGCCCAGTTTCTCATGAATAAAATGATATATAATAAGTGTGGGTGCACTTAATATGAAAGAGATGAATTACGGTTGAACAGACATATAGCGCAAATTCCAGTTTTTGTTTACATTTTGTTTTGATCAGAACGTGTCCAATTGACTCGGTCCTGAAGGGGTTAAAACAAGTATTGACATACAGTGACAACATGTTGACAGAGACATCATCTGAAGATGGTATAGAATTTCTGAATGCAGAATGAGCTTGTGAGAATGGATCTCTGGAACACAGTGAACAATTTCACACCAGCATCTGCTCCTGATGGGGACTCTTCCACTCTGGGAGAAAAAGGACAGAAAAACAAGGACTTATGGGAAGGCTTAGAAGATTAGTATGGAAGTAACGGTCTAAAAAAATTCAGTTTAAAAGTGTTTAGGGAGGAGACATAGAGAAACATCTGAATCAAATTTCAGAAAATACTATCATTTAGATTCTATTGGCAAAAAAAACAATGAAGAAGATAAAGTGATCCTGATTTTATCAAATCTTCCATAAAGCTATAATTCATTAATTCATGCACTGGAAACTAGAGAGAATCTCTCTGTAAAATATGCCTTAGAGAAGAGTCATTCTGGCGAGCTGCAGAAAGTAGTGAAACACAAGCATTTGCAATAGAAAACACAGAGAAGCTGATCACCGCAGCCAAGAGATTAAATTTGCACAAAAAGGGTAAAAACAAAAAAGTTTCAGTTCCTCTAATATGTGTGAAGCCTGTAATACAGAAAAGATTATTACGGCCGAAGAAATTTCATAGTTCAATCACAGGGAAAATAAAATAAAATATTAATTGTAACATTAAAAATGTGGTTTATTTGCTTCAATACCTGTGTGGTAAACACTATGTGGGTAGAACATGCAGAAAATTAAATGAGAGAATTTTAGAGCATAATAATAATATTAAGAATTATTTTAAAAAAAATAAAAACATATAGTCCCTGTACATTGCAATAAAAGCCCAAAGTTGATTTGGAAAGATTTGTATTATATAAGTTTAGAAAAATTATAGTCAATGGAGAGGTGGGAACACAAAGAGAAACTTATTGGATCAATGCGCTTAAACCTTTACAGCCAGGAGGACTAAGTGTTTATATTGATTTATGGTGCTTTTTAGACTAATATATTTTTGGCCTTCTTGCTTTTCTTAAATATTTTCTTCTTTTTTTATGTGGAGGGACATGGTTCGTTATTTTTTATGTGTATCCATTTTTCTCCAGCAGGAACAATACATTTTTTCTCAATTTTTTTGATAACCATGTTTTTTCTATATATTTTTTTTATATATCTCTTATATGTACGTGCATATTTCTTTTATTTAATCTATTATAACTGAAGTAGGTAACAGCAGACATGCATAAGTCTGGGCACACCCGCGCGTTGTTGGCAAACTTATTGAGTAGGTCTCTGGCATCCAACATGTGTTTTGTTAGAAAAGTCCATGTAAGTGAGCCAAGGAGAACACCAGTGGGTACCGTGATAACCCCCGGAGGTCTAAAGGTAGGGGGGAGGCCCAAATGAGGCTGGAAACGGGCTTCAACAGAGGATCACCTGTCCCCTCTGCTCTTAATTTTCTTGTAGACCCCAGTACAGTCCGGTACAGTCCACAACCGCCACACACAATAAAGCCCAAGCCAGTTTCTTGGCAAAGTATTCCTCCAGAAGTTACTGGTTTGTCAGGTGAATTATAGAACGATTTTCAGGCTAAATCAAGCATTGTGGAGGTACTGGGAAGTGCTCCGATACCAGGACAGTTGAAACATGTGTGGAATGCATGACATTATCGCGTTTGCTGTCTATACTCACCAGAACAACTACATTTAGCTGTAGTTGTTCTGGTGACTATAGTGTCCATTTAATGTAAAGTTCAATTTCAAAATAAATGTAAAATAACACAAGAAAAATTATTTATGTAAATTTTTTTAAAATAATGGAGACAGTCAGGTGCATGCTGATAGATTCACAGTTGTCAAACAAATAGAGAGCTGATGAAGTTATGATGGCTACATATCTATAAAATAGACTACCTGAAAAAGCTACAAATAAAATTTAATTTGAACTTTGGTTAGCAGAACCTCTATGATTAAATAAATCAGAGCATTTGGATTCAAAGCCTATGCATTTGTTCCAAATCCTAAAAAGTCCAAACATGACAATAGAACTGAAATATGTATCATGAGTGGATACAAGAGAAGATAGAAAGAATACAGAATCTTGAACTAAGAGATATGAGAAGTAAAAATGAAAAGTGAAAAGTGTTGTTTATTTTATATCCAGGTCTAAAAATTCAATATGTTCTTTAGAGTGGTTAAAAGTGAAATTGAGGGGGGGTGGAGCCTGACGACCAACCTGTATAGACGCCATCTTACGCGGCTTCCATATTGCCGACCACAATATTGCTAAAATCACCCTACACAGGGGCCATCCGGCAAAACAAAGTGCATCTCCAGCACCACGACGTTGGGGCGAGCAGTTTGATTACCTTTTTTCAAGCCGCCAAGCAACCCAGGCAGCGGCGCAAAACCGCGGCCTACCGTGCCACACCAATCCTTAGCCTCGAGACACTCCTCGGGGGACAGGGAGCAGGTCGCGATTACCCAGTCTGCCCCCTCAGGACGCACCAAACATGGGCCGACGCACCCCTAAACCCACGGCTGGAAACACTACCCAAGGTAGGGACATAGGGGAAATGCTGCTCCGGGGATTTCCCGCCAAACATGGCCCCCGTCCCGGAGACAGAGGGAGAGGAGACCCTCCACACACAGAACCCCCAGGTGGGACACACAACACCCCCAGCCTCGCCAGAGGACTCAGCCCCCACCACTAAAGGGGACCTGAAAGCCCTCTTGGCAGACATCCAGAAGCTACTGGCTGCAGATGTAGCCCTGATTAAAAGGGACATGCAACGAGTCACAGACCGTGTCACAAACGCGGAGAGGGACATAGCAGGAGTCCATACCACTATGACCACCCTGAAAGACTCAGTCCAACAGCTGCACATGGAACAACACATTCTAGAAACCCAAATAATGTCCCTTGAAGACAAACAACGCCGAACACACATAAAGATCCGCGACATACCCAACACCATCACCACTGAAGAACTGCCGCACTACACGCGACGTCTCTTGACTACAATCCTGTCACAACCAATAGCTAAGAAAATCACACTGGACGGTATGTACCGAGTAACAGGCTCAGCACGCACCGCACCGGGCACCCCCAGAGATGTCATCCTGCGATGTGTCACCATACATTACTAGATTCAAATAATGACTGCCCTGAAAGGCAAAACGCCACTGGAATTTGAGGACGCAAAGTTATTATTTTTTCAAGACCTCACCAGAGCCACGTTACTTAGACGCAAATCTTTTGGCACAGTAACGGCCACTCTACGCAAAGCGAACATACCATACAGATGGGGGAACACCGGCTCCTTAATTGTCCATCATGCTGGGACCACCCACAACCTTACCTCCCCCATGGGAGCCCGAGCCTTCCTGTCTGCAATGGGATTGCAGCCCAGTCAACCGCCTACCACAGACGACAATCAAGATGTCACCTGGGACCCAACACCCAACACCTCAACCGGACAACGGCCGGAATACCCACAGCGCCCCAACACCTGACCCTTATCTGGGACTGAGCCAACCTGGCCGCTGAACAACCATCTGGCTATCGAAAACCACACCGACCAACTACTTGCTTGGACTTTTACCCACACCAATTAAGAGTTTATCATGTTCAGTTACTATGTTTTTTTTTTTTCTTCTATATTCTTGTATGCACATGCTGACAACACACCCAACTCCTGGGATAGGTACCACTACCCCCACACATAACGGGGTTTACACACCTCTCTCACTCAGCAAGCCACTGGCCTCTGAGACCCAGGCAATCTGGCAACAAGAAGCGCCTTAAACACCCGCCCCGCCACCCCCTTAGGTTAGGGGTAACACTAAGCGTGCCAGTCCACCATCAAGTCATCGACCGGATCAACGTCCACACGAACATGAATATCACTCAGCATATAGTACCCAGTAGGTACACACACCCTGGCACTATCAACGCACATAGACGCCAACCTGACACCACACATGTGTAGGCTCCTATGCAGCCCTGCAGCCTCATGCACCACAAAGGAGCATACACCACACCCCACGCCTGTAGTACCCCGGGAGCGCAACACAAACCAATCACTAGCCTGCAGACATCTAGCTAGCCCCATACAGCCGAACATACCATACAGATGGGGGAACACCGGCTCCTTAATTGTCCATCATGCTGGGACCACCCACAACCTTACCTCCCCCATGGGAGCCCGAGCCTTCCTGTCTGCAATGGGATTGCAGCCGAGTCAACCGCCTACCACAGACGACAATCAAGATGTCACCTGGGACCCAACACCCAACACCTCAACCGGACAACGGCCGGAATACCCACAGCGCCCCAACACCTGACCCTTATCTGGGACTGAGCCAACCTGGCCGCTGAACAACCATCTGGCTATCGAAAACCACACCGACCAACTACTTGCTTGGACTTTTACCCACACCAATTAAGAGTTTATCATGTTCAGTTACTATGTTTTTTTTTTTTCTTCTATATTCTTGTATGCACATGCTGACAACACACCCAACTCCTGGGATAGGTACCACTACCCCCACACATAACGGGGTTTACACACCTCTCTCACTCAGCAAGCCACTGGCCTCTGAGACCCAGGCAATCTGGCAACAAGAAGCGCCTTAAACACCCGCCCCGCCACCCCCTTAGGTTAGGGGTATCACTAAGCGTGCCAGTCCACCATCAAGTCATCGACCGGATCAACGTCCACACGAACATGAATATCACTCAGCATATAGTACCCAGTAGGTACACACACCCTGGCACTATCAACGCACATAGACGCCAACCTGACACCACACATGTGTAGGCTCCTATGCAGCCCTGCAGCCTCATGCACCACAAAGGAGCATACACCACACCCCACGCCTGTAGTACCCCGGGAGCGCAACACAAACCAATCACTAGCCTGCAGACATCTAGCTAGCCCCATACAGCCGAACATACCATACAGATGGGGGAACACCGGCTCCTTAATTGTCCATCATGCTGGGACCACCCACAACCTTACCTCCCCCATGGGAGCCCGAGCCTTCCTGTCTGCAATGGGATTGCAGCCGAGTCAACCGCCTACCACAGACGACAATCAAGATGTCACCTGGGACCCAACACCCAACACCTCAACCGGACAACGGCCGGAATACCCACAGCGCCCCAACACCTGACCCTTATCTGGGACTGAGCCAACCTGGCCGCTGAACAACCATCTGGCTATCGAAAACCACACCGACCAACTACTTGCTTGGACTTTTACCCACACCAATTAAGAGTTTATCATGTTCAGTTACTATGTTTTTTTTTTTTCTTCTATATTCTTGTATGCACATGCTGACAACACACCCAACTCCTGGGATAGGTACCACTACCCCCACACATAACGGGGTTTACACACCTCTCTCACTCAGCAAGCCACTGGCCTCTGAGACCCAGGCAATCTGGCAACAAGAAGCGCCTTAAACACCCGCCCCGCCACCCCCTTAGGTTAGGGGTATCACTAAGCGTGCCAGTCCACCATCAAGTCATCAACCGGATCAACGTCCACACGAACATGAATATCACTCAGCATATAGTACCCAGTAGGTACACACACCCTGGCACTATCAACGCACATAGACGCCAACCTGACACCACACATGTGTAGGCTC